AGGGTAGGTCGCATGCGTGTTACTATTCGCTCGTCTTTTGGAGAAACACACTCGTTCGATGTGGCCGACTTTCTTGCAAAACTGGCATACCGTCTTCTGGTGTCTACAGTCTGACCACCGGATATGATGCTGACCACAACGGTAGCAGGATATTAGTTGTTTTGAGGGAGCTGAGGGTCGCTGTCTAGGTGAAGACACAGCAGTGTTGACCAGGGAGACAGCCATTTCCGATTCCAAGGATGCTATCATTCCATCGTTTGACTGATTCAGCTACTGAAGGTTTTGCCGCACGCGCTCCTGATGACTGGCAATATCACAGGCTTTCTCCCATGACAAATCCTTCTTCTCTGATAAAAGATTTTCCCGAGATTTTTCATCGCGTAGACCGACGATCAACTGCTGAACGAGCATTGCGTGCTCGAGGTTGTCTGCCTTGATCTCTTTATACCCACAGTCCTGGATGGCCAGAGTCAGATTAGTAATAAAATCACTGACACATTGATTGGATTTTTGACGTATTTGACAAAACCGATAGCGACTGAGAAAGACGTCTTTTCCTCCCCAAGCTGACTCGAGTTTTGAGAATGCTGTATGGAGATCTATAGCCTGTTGTAGATTGAGGGCATCGAAATATCGTTGTCCCAACTCTCCGAGATTCGTCCGGAGGAGTTTCAACTTAGATAGGACGTCTAGTACAATCGTGGGTGACAAAATCGGGAGCAGTTCAATATAATCCTCAAATGTCTTCCTCCATTGCAACCACGAGTCATTTGAGGGCTTCTGGGTGTTCTTTGGCCAGAAAGGTAACGGTGTAGGCGGCAATGAAGACATGTTCGTTAGGCTGCGTCGCCAATGTTATCTATGCAAAACGTGTACTGGGTACGAGAGACAGCACAAGTGAGGAGGCTTGTGAGAACGGCCGGGTATATGGCAAGGGGGACTGTCATAGGCTAATGGGTGGCCAATCAGCACAAAGAAGGTGTGAACAGGGGGCCACGACCTTGATCGTTCGCTTGTCACGCGTTTGTGGCATGATGTCCTGACGGCCCGGGCCGGATACGCTGCATGCATGACACGGCTTTTTGCACGCCGTGAGTCTCGGGCTCGAATCCCACATGCAGCGGAGAAGTCGCGTGGAAAAGGAGCCGATAAACACGCTTCCTCCTTTATGAGAAGTGCTAACTGCCTGCTTGTGTTGCGAGATGTTGGATGTAGTCATGTGCTTTGTAGGTACCAGCGAGGCGAGATGTGGTGGTATGGTATAGCCGGCGGTGCCCTGCCACAGGTTTTAATGGAGGCGCATTAGACCTTATGGGCCCATGCGATGGTTCAATGTGCAATAGCAGTGGAGACAGTTTAGCCAATGGCGCCTGCTGTATGTCGGGGCTCCAGACACTGGTTCGCCAGTCTCTGTGCGATGAATTAGCAAGTGTGATACTACGGCGAATTTCGATTGTGGATACATTTTTCCGAATAGACCCCAGCGGTGTATGAATGTGCGTGGACAGTGGAGGCGGACGCGGCAATATATGCGGAGGCTCCTGGCACTGGTTCATCTGTCGCAGTGCGACGAATTCGCAAGTGACCGGCCGAACCTATGCGTGAGGTGAGTGTGCGATCGCAATGGGGACAGGTTAGGACCGACTCCACATCGCCTGAGGTGGGGCTGGTAATGGTGAGGGTGGTGATTATTGGGCCGTCGGGAGTTTAGTGGTGCAAGTGAGAGCTATGGTGGTCGCCGTCGTCACCGCGGAGGTTGTGGCAGGGACCATGGAGATGGTGGTGACCGACGAAGGCAGGACAGGGGGATGTTGAGTAGCAGCAGTGAGGGCGGTCGTCGCGGGGGTTTGTACAGGGGGCTGTAGGAGAGGCTGCGGGCAGCGTTGTCAGGCTGGTGCAGTGAGTCCGGAGATGTCCGACGAGGCCGGTCCGCGCGAGGAATATTCGTTGACGATGCGGGCATGTTGAGCGGGGTTAGGTGTTGGCGTTGCCGGCCAGGGGCGCCTGGGACTTACAAGCTCCCCTTTTGGCTTTGGCAACGGTGACCCGGTTGCCTTCATAGACGGCTGCCTCATGCTTCATTGGTCTCCTCCAGGTCGGCCGATTCTGTGCGAGGTTTTCACAAGTCTTCTAATTAGTCTGCAGCCGCCTCGAGGAATTCTTCAGGGCGTCCTTGTAGTGGCTGGTTCGACCTCTTCGGCGGGTACGCATGACGACGCCTCCGCAGAAATGTTGTTTTGGTGGGCGCTCGTCGTCCATCCTCACGAGGTGGCCACTCCAGCGTAGCTGTAGTTGTTTCGGCATGGTGTGGTCGCCGACATCGCCAGTCCGTTCCAGAAATTTTGTGCCCAGGATCATGTCCTGCCACCCCAGACTCAGTATTCTGCGAAGACAACTGAGGTTGGAGTGACTCAGCTTCCGCGCTTGTTTTTCATAGACAGTCCAGGTCTCCGCGCCTTATAGCAAAGTCGTCAGGATGACTACGTATTACATCTACAGTTTGGTGCTAAGGTGGAGACCTTGGGGATTCCATGTGGAGTTCTGCAGCCGGCCGAAGGCTTGGCCGGCTTTAGAGATCCGATTTCGTTGATATCAATGAGTGCGGCAGACTCTACTACCACTTTAAACTAATTCACGTGCAGGTCACCGTTCCTGCTCCCACCCTGCTGTGGAGCACACAACGGACATAGTTGGCAACGACGATCGAACCGTCAGTATTATGGTACCAACTTTAGTGCATTCCTCACTGTAATAACTCTGACGTGCCTGAATCCAGCCCGACGCTCTAAACATCGTGAGTTGGAAGGTTACCAACTGAGGATACGATTCAGATTTCGTAGTTGGCCCTGTATGCGAGTCTGGTTCACTGGCACCTTTTAAATGTGTCCTCTATTGTACTCTCATAAATTCGAGGTGGAGGCCGCCCACCCCTTCGAGTTAAACACTGGTGCGCCGAATGAGGGTCCAGGCTCTGTGTGGCACGCGTGGACGGACCGTTTAGAATTGTCAGCCACTGCGTCCAATCAGCTGGCTGACCGGCTCTGACAGTGGACTGGTGCTTGGAGGGAAGAGTGAGACTAACTGGTGACTGTGTCCCCAATATAAACAATTTCAGGCGCCTTTAAACAATCGTGTTGCGCTAAAAACCGCGACTTGGAGGGCTACCAACAGAGGGGATAACTTGGTCCGCCTCTCAGGACGGAGTCAGGCTCCTTCTCAATCCGACCTCTATGGCACTCCCATTGAATTGAGAGCCGAACCATCCCCACTCTGTTTGTGTGAAATTTTGCCCCACCGTGCGCGGACAAGGCATGCGTGGCACGCACAGACAGACCGATCAGCTGTTGGTCACTGTGCCCGAGCCTGCCTGCGTTCTTCTTGACTCTGCCTTGACACCGGGCTCGGGTGGGCGAGAGAGGAGTGTGACAGACGCAGCGAAAGCCTATCGTCCCTCAAAACTAGCTAACGCGTAAGTCAATGTCCCAACGTCCACCATGCTGAGGTGGACGGGGTATTGTCGAACAGTCGAACTGTTACTAGGCGCCTTAGCCACGGCACTGCTGTCCAACTCCCAGACACCTCAAAATTAAAATGAACCGAGGAGCCTGCAGTTGGTGGCACAAGGCTTGTCGTTTAATCGTTACAAGCGAAATACTCCATCGACAGGGCTTCAAGTCACCTCCCGGCATCTTTATCTGTCTAGTACAGCACAAGTCTACTACTTCTTCCCCGAGTTGTGAAAGCGTCGCCCTGGTCACTGTGATAAGTGCTTTGTAAATACCTCGAAGCACCGAGTTCTATCCCAAATTACTGGCCTTAAGGACCGGCACAGACCATAATTCAGACAAGCTGGATTAGTAACCTTGGGTGGGAACTCTGTCCTCATTTGTCGCTATCCAGATAAAAAAAAAACAGAGAGAATTAGTTTTCGTGTCTAGCGCTGGTCTCCAGGTGTGGACCGAACACAGAAATAGGCCTATTTTCATGTGCTCAGCTTGACAGGTGGTGTCGCCTATCGTGCCGAAGACCCCTCGTCGAAACCAGCCGGGTCGGTGGCTAGGCAACAACGTAGACGCGATTACTGTGAAGCCCCGCGAACCAATCGGGCCAATGGGAGGGTTCTGTTTGTCTACCTGTCAACTACTCGCAAGTGGCGGACTGTGGCGCCGAGGTCGTGCACATTGTTCGCCCTATAAAAGGGTGCAGTCTAATGACAGCGCTGCGACGTAGTGATCGCTACCAAACAAGTCTCCTGCCGCGGATGCCTTACCACTATATCGCAACGAGCCAAAGCATCAAGACACTGTCGGGGCGGCCATTGAGACCCGCCCATAACAGAGGCAGAAATCTTACAACAGAAGCCGACTATGTCAGGAATTTTTGCCAGACCCGATACTTAAGCCCAACCCCCTCCACGGTGGTCCTGGGGCAATCAGCACACTTGTATTTTTTCTCCATTACCTTTCTTAGTACTTCCAAATCCCCCTTTGCTATTTCCCTGGGAAAAAATAAGGGTGGTACGACAAGTGATAGCACGGACCCCGATGACCAGTCGTTGTACAATGTCGATCAACCAGTTAAAGTCTGACGTTCCAGGCAGCTAACACCGACTACAGTGCACTTAATGCCATAACGTTATCGACTAGAGCTAGAAGGCAACCATCGACAGATCTGGTTTCACAGAAGCGCCCGTCAAGCGTGTAGTCACTAACATTGCTCCTAACTCACCATTGTTTTCGGCTGGGTTAACATGGCCCGAAATAATTGGGAGTCCTCGGGATATTGGCCCGGATTGTTCATAGCTAACTATGATATGCGAACACAGAACAGCATCAACATTTTTTCAGAAGGCCTTGTCAGCCTAAAGCGAATGATGACAGTTAAGACAAAAGGTGCAGCCGTACAAACGTTTCTGGGGAAAGATTGATATGTCTTCAGTAAAAACTCGCATAATGAAAACTGAAACAAAAAAGAGTCTATTTTATAATATTACAATGTATTTAGTCCTTCTCAGCCATTCGAGTCAAACATGTATCGATTTCTTCCACCGTCAGGGCCCTGAAACGAAAAACTTGGCTGTTCAAAAGGAGAGTATAAAGCACAAAAGTAAAGTAAAAGGTAGGACTTAGACCTAAATTTGTTCGCAGAATCAGAAAATAAACCGATGTAGTAGGGAAAATGAGTAATTTTCCGCAAAGTGAGAAGCGTTATCGGTAGAATCACGATTCCATTCCAAAACATCCCTGCTGCTAACTGGTCTGGTACTCTTCTCGGGTACCCGCCGATTTTGCAGGATTTGTGAGAAGTCAAGACATCAGTTAAATCTGGTGAATCGTAATGAGAAGTCCGGTCAACACTATTCAAATTTAGGACACTTTAGTGACCCCTTTTTGCTACTTGGTCGAGTAACTCAACAGTGCTGAAGTGCTAGAACTCGTACCGCAAATAATGCCGAAATCATATTTCTACTGAATGGTCTTTTCGCATTTAAAAATCCCAGTGCTTTACACATTCGTCCTGTAAGGGTAGTTGTCCGAAAGGACCTGCTGAAGTTTGGCGCTAGGGTATGCAATGATAGCTGGAGCCGGCTGTAGCGCCGTCGACAATGTTTAAATCGAAGAGTTTGTTTCATGTTCGGGTAGCAGGTTCTGCATAGCGGCTAGTGAGAAGTTGATTCTGCCAATGAAGAAAGCTGCTTTCGTCACCTCAGTTCACTAATATCACCTTAGATTGTGAAGCGAGGCTCCGGTGAGATGAAGACAGTTTCCTACTGAACCCTTGATTTTTGCATCTGAAGGAATGTATATTAGGAGATACTGTCACCGTGTTTAACAACGTACCTCGCAACTATGGGAGACAAATACGCAACTACGAGTATTTGTCTCGATGGTCCTAATGTGTGATAATTACTAAGAAACGGCTGACTGACGGACACAATACGGGTCTCATATGGGGCTCCAGAGAATGACGCATGGCGGGCGGAACAAAAAATAGTACTACAATTATACAGCCAGGAAAATTATGAACCAATGGATTGTTTAATGAGTCGCGTTGACGGTCTCAACCCCGACTAAAATAATGATACGTGTCGAAGTTGTCGAAACTTGCCTGAAAACTGGGTTTTCCTTTGAAACGACTCCGATTTCGAGTTCGTTTGGTTTGAACTCCAGGCTTAAGACGTGCGAAAGACAGCTAATCGCAGCCTCCACAGCCTCATCCAGTGTGAAGTTTTGTCTTTTCCTTAACTGGGAGAAGAGAATACATTTTTAGACAGTGACTGGAAGTTGTGCAGGTCACTAAATGATTTGAAGGGCTTAGATTAAAAAAGAATAAAAATGCTGCCGTCTTCTTCAAGCCAACATTTAAGAAAACTTTCAAAGACGTATCTCAGAGTATAGTTGCGAGGTATTTAACTAGATACGGCTGCAACTGCGGCTGAACTTGCTAGTGGCGAGAATTGACTGTACGCTCTCTCAAAATGCGGCAACAGATCTGGAAAGCTTTAATCATTTTCCCCTCCTGAAGGAGAAACGGAATACTTCGAGTTCGAAAACCCATCAAAATTTTGAATCGTGTAGAATCAGGTCTCCACCCCAAACGGCACTCCGTTATTTTCAGTATGAGGAACGGCAAAGGCTCAATCGTTCAGATGTATTCGACCGGTCTGAGCCACAAAGATGAAACAAGTAGACAGATGCCCTGTACACGAAGACCCCCATAGCGGCTTGGATATCCTGGCGGACTTGAAGGTGTTGCGAGTGCTAAAAAAACGGCAAGTATCCGCGATCTGCGCAAGATCGGAGTTAAATTTCAAAAATTATGATTAAACGCCGTAAGCTGGAACGTTACCACGAATGAAGAAATAATGGGCTCTGATTGCGACGTTTCGGTCCGCAGGCCGGCTGGTTTCATTATTTTCCACACGGAATCGCAATAGATGAAATTAGAGAAGAGAATAGGGCACGCAGCTGTCAACTGGTTGCAGCCATGACGGAACTCGGTGAAAGCCGATGTGTAAATATCTAGTAAGCGTATTTGCGCTCAGTCCGGGAGTCGGCTCACGCTATTCGAGAGCAGTGGTGACCAAAACTTGCAGCGAGTTCGACAACACGCACGTTGAGGTATTTACAACTTATTTTATATTGCGCGACGCGGTAGAGCTTGGTTGAAGCCATTCTCATTGCATACGTCGGCACAACCCATAACCCGGGATTCGCCCGAAGAGCTAGCACACAATCAAGAGTCGAGCACGAAGTTCAACCGCTCTTCGGAGTGGCAACCACTGCGCTACCTGGTACTCAGATTTATTTTTGACGGGTTGGACGGAGGCAGTTGTGACAACTACACTCTGAAAAAAACAACACGAACGGGTATTTGGGATCCCTGGCGAATGAGACTAGGTATGCTCGTGCCTACCTTCAGTAAGGGAAACAAGACAAGGTGAGAAAGCTACCACGGCATGCGCCTTGTCGGCATTGTTGCAAAGGTCACTGTCGTTCTTAAGCGCCTTCACAGTACATGTGACTTCAGGACGAGACTCAACCAAGTTGGGCAACAAGTCCGATGTAAATGTTTCGACCAGACATTCACATTGTGATGCGCTTTTGAATCCCGCAATGACTACCAGCAAGTAAGGTTAATTTGCTTTGTTGACTCCGCCGCAGCCGTACCAAACGCAAGCAAGTACTGCTCACTTTTTGACACTTTTTTCTTAATAACAACTTGGATGGTCAGTATAAAAGGCAGCCTTCTATTTAGAAACGTAATGGAAGATTACCTGTACATAGTAGGATTATACGAATAAATAGCACATTTATCGGTAGTTTAGGGCTCAGCAGACGCCATACTGCAGGACCTGACCGCATTTTCTAAACGCTAATTTACGGGAAATCGGAAAACAGGTGTGGAAGGTGGGTGCAAATGTTAACTGTGATTTTAATTATGCAAGTGTGTGAAGGACGCGGTTGCACGACAGGCTAGACAAATGCGTGGAAAATTGCAATCCACGAGCAACTTGGACATAAATCCCCTGGAAACTCTTCTGCACGTTAGCCTATAGAGACGTATCCGACTGGACACTAAAAGTACAAACTTTGCTACGACATGAACGAACAACAACTGGGCTGTCAGTTTCTCTGAAAAATTACTGGTAGAAGTGTGCACTGACGAGCCGTGGGGCAAGGATAGGGAAATGGACATATGAAAAATTGGCTACTTTCAACAATTGGTCTGTTTGAGTCTAAACTGAACGGACAACTTGGGAGTTAGATCGATAGCGAAATTTAAACACGTAAAACTAGGTTTTCCCATTAAAAAGGTCATAAGTACCATGAATGCCGTCTAAACCCGCTCGGGACTTCACCGTCCATGTTGTTCAAGCAAAACTACGTTGGTGCATGAAAAGGTAATTGAACAAATCGCACGCAGGCAGACTACAACCAGCCTGCCACGCAGACCCTCAAACGCAAATCACAAAAGCGTCGAGAAGTGAAAACACCATACAAATATAACAATAGGACTTAAATATCATATGAAGCTCACTGACTGCAATAATTGGATGATACATACTTTCCGGAAAGTTTACCTTTTTTTCAAGATAATTTTTTGCCTCAATTTGCTTCGTGCCCACTGATGCAGCTTTATGGCCAGCAACGAAGCCGCTTGGGTCCGTTTTAAAAAGCTGAGCACATTGGAGTTCCTCATCATAGGAAATAGCCATCATGGCGCAACCAAGGGGACGCATTTCGGCGGACTGGGTATAAACCTGGTTGATCTCTCCGATTCGCTTAAGAAGAACATCACATGGCATTTCGTAACTGCAAATCACACAAAAAGCACCACTTACCCGTATTTGTATTTGAAGTTGGCAGCCTCATATCTGGCCCGTTGCACCTGTGCCCTGCAGTCGGGCATCATGCCAGTCATTATACAGCCGGTATGTGGAGTTAGACTGAAGAGCCTGGTGACAGAGGCGCGTTCGATTAGTTTGTCTGGGAGTTTGCACTGGCACGCAACAACTGCGCAATTCTCTCCTCGGATGCCAACGGAAGTGAGGCCGTCCAAACTAATAGCCTTAAACGTATATTCTGGAAGCGATAGAAGAAATTTTCACTAACCAACTTGGAAAAGTCTCCCTTCTGGAGAAAAAATCGTCATATACTGATCAAAACCGCTCGAACTTGCCGCCGACATTATCTAGGGTGACTTTGGAAATATTTTTGAATTATGGCAAGCCTAATTAGTGGATTAAAACAATAGAGGTCTCGACAAAGAATGATTTCCAATTTTCAGCTGCCCGTGATGGGCTCATAGGATTTATCAGACATAAAAAAGACAACTTGATATCTGCAGGAATCGAATCCAAATTAGGTATTTGAGTGTTAACAGAAAACCCGAGTAGGATATAAAGGTCATTGTGTTTGGTGGACGGCGAAACAGACATACCGAGAGATGACAGAATGAGATTAGGACAAAAAGCTGAGGGCATAAGAGACTATGGCAAAGAATAAATCAAGTAAAAAGACAAGTTCGTTCACAAAGCGCTGAAGATTTTGTCATGCAAACAGCTTTTTCTATTTTAAGGCAACAGTAAGTTACCGATAAATATGGAGCGGAAGATTAAATTCCCCTAACAAAACTATTAACTCTTGGGTGTAACTGTACAGTAGACGACATATCGCACGAAATTTCGTGATTGAAATTTGATTTGGTAGCATAGTATACATTTGTTGTTGTTATATGTTAATTGGGCTGTTTTGATGGACAGAAAGCCGTTTCATGTGGGTTTTTTCAAGGAGAGCAGGCCATAGTTGGGCAAAAGCCGACCACCCATGATATCAAAATTCACATGTCAAAAGCCCATGTTTATGAGCATTGTATCATGAACGGACATTAATGTAAAATAGTGTTTGTATACCCGCGACGTGCCGTCAATTTTGTGTGTCTCGCAGTGCGATAAGGATATCCGGGCGGTTTCTATTGGCAGTCGACTACGAGCAGATATGGAAATTAGCAACGAAGAGGTTGTTGTGTGAGTCGATTGAAAGTATTTTTATTGTTAGTGAGGTTATCGTGTGGCGAATTATTTATGATAGAACATGGCACAGAAATAAACAGGGTAACTCGAAACGGCCCACAAATAAACAGGACAGGAGTATTATTTGTCGTACCCTACAAAATGTCAATATACGCCCACCGAGAACATTCACAGGAAAAATCTGCAGGTATAATCTGTGAACGTGCTTAGGAAAAAGATGCAGGAGTTTGGAATTGAAACACAAACGGCCATGATCAAGCCGTTTTTAAGTGGAGTGCGTATTAGGGAATGATTTTTATTGTTAATAATTGTACTAATTACAGGGCCTCGTGTTGAGAGAGCATTTACTTCTGCGACAAGAGCTTATTTTTAGATAAAACCCCAAAATCCACCCAGATGGTCAAATGTGCAAAGAACTCTCCAAAAAGCACACTACACCGACGGCAACCTTTAAAACTGTCGACAGAGGATGGTTTGGATGGCCATCATATCCAGAGAGCGGCCAGTCCGGCGGTCGACTACGGACACCATCAACAGCAAGGTGTATGACAATATTGTAAATGATATCCTCGGTTAAGACGATAGCCGATGATGCCAATGAACACCGATGATGCTCCTGTCCACCGATCTAAAGAGGTATGAATTTGAGAACGCTTGCCATTGAAATCCAACTTTTTAGACAATGTCAGCCTGTCAGCATGTGGCCTTAATCGATTTTTAGTATTTCCAACAGCTCGGACACTAATCCAATCGACATTCCTTTTCACACTTATCAAAAGAAATCGCACAAAACAAAGGGGAATATTTCGATGCAAGAAAAACTCGGTTTTGAGCCATATAATCACAGTGAACAGTCCATCATGTACAGTGTGACTATCTCCTGGCTTCAGAGCATTTCCCCAAAAGTAAGTGAGAATAGAAAGCATGCAAAGTAGAAATCTTAATATCTTCCATTAAGTTCCCCTTTTCATGCCTCCCTCCGTTTATCAAACTTACGGAAGGCCTTAATTATGTGAGAAGAAAAATAAAAAATTTCAGAAATTCTGCGATAAATTAATACATAAGACTGATTATTTACGATATATGAGGGTTATTTCATGACAGGAAACAATAAGTAAAAATTCATTTCCAGTGGGTTTCAGAATGGATAGGAAAACATTGCACAGTTTTCGGTTTGTGTTAATAAAATAGGCAGTTTAATATGAAAAATGGTTAACGAGCAGTGGAAAAACTACTTCATTTATTCGAAAAAGGTAAAATATATGTGATTCAATCAGTCTTGAAGGGGAAAAAGTGTCGCTCATGTAAAGGTAAATATGCGCGTAGGACAGGAACGTTCTGCAGGTAAGAGTATATAGGGGATGCATAACGGCCCTCGTTTAGGTTAAACTCCCTAGTCGGGTGAGGCTTTTCGCCGCAGATGCGATCCTAATATCTTCGGGTTGACAACAGACACTACCGTCAAGGCGGCGAGACAGAAGGGAGTAAACGTGACTGGTCACAGTTCGCTTAGGGTCCAGGGGGAGAGGGACCATTTGAGGTTACGGGGATCGTCAAAGCTCGGAGAGATGCGACTATGATGCTTATTTGCTGGCCGGCCAAAAGGCGTGAATGCAGTGTCGCAACAGTGAAGAAAACTTTTTCCCCCGTCTACCTGTCCTACGGGAATGGTGGTAGGAGGGGTTGTACGGGTGGGGCCTCTAAAACGTGCCAAACAGCAAGTAATATAGTGCGCGATAATTAAAAATTACATTGACGCCAAAATTTGTTTTAATGCATCAAACGAACCTCATATATGACCTTCACGCTGAAAAGCAGCCTATGGGAAGCCGGGAGTGGACCTAGGACGTCATGCGTTAACGCTATTGGTGGGGTTAGAACGGAAGCCGTAGTGGCCAGAGGCCTGACCAATGGGCTGGTGGGAGTGCGTGTGTTTTGCGCGCTGGGCGGGAGGAAATTAATGGCGTAGGGTTTGCCGTTTTCTCTGAAAAAGGCAACAGCAGAGAGGCATCGGGTGCGCGATAGTAGTTATGGCCAATGGATGCCATTGCGCCGTTCACGTACGCATACGACTTCCATGGCGGTAGGTCGAGCAGGGACGAAAAGCGGTTGATTAGGTAAAGCAAGTTCGCTAATTATGGTGTGCCTATGAACAGGTAGGACAGAAATGCAGTGTATAGTATGCTGTATGGGGAGGCATATCAAACCCTAGGTTAGGGTTAGCGGAGACTGTGAAATGTGGGCATTTTAAGAAGATGATCACGCTCTGTCCTAACCTGCCTACACACTGGTTAATGAAGTAGCCAACTGATGTAGTAGCATGCATTTTTCGCATTGAATCAATTATATTTCATGGAAAACATGCATAAAAATATGCATTTGTTGCCCGTTTGGTACAAAATTACGTCTCCTAGCAATTTTACACTCAAATTCGGTTGGAAAAAGTTCCTAATTATGACATTTTTTAATAACCGTGGAATGCCCATTCATAAAACACCGCGTCTCTGTAGATGCTGATGTTGCTTGTAAAGTTTACAATATGGTTCAAATCCACTGCTGAATTCTGTGGACCGCCTATGGTCTCCTCTTAATACCGGAAGGTTTTCCGTACGCGGAAAATATATGGCCCGAGTTTCTGAAGCCGAAATGTAAGTTTAACTGCAGGTCAGGTTCGAAATTATGCGGGAATTGGAAAACTCTTCGAAAACTGAATTAAAGCCTTCCTTTGAGTTTAAAATGTGGAAGATAATGCAATTTTCTATCCAGGAAATAGAAAAATGACTACGTGTATGCACATTTTCCATGAAATATAATTGCATTTTTAACGGTATCGAACATGAATGAGAAAAATTCACGCTACTTAAGTAGTCATTTTCTACAGAGTGTGGGTTTTGCAGGCGGCCAAAAAGAAGTTCCTTCAAAAACCGACATCCCGTGGTAATTGAATCACTATAGATTTACACTGCAAGGTCATTAATTTTGCGACCCTGCCTAAGTGATCTTTTCGAAACGAAGAAGCATTTCAGAATTTCAGTTGACATTTCTTGAGTTAGTCCACCTACTTTAGGTAAAACTGTAATATTAGTTAAAGCGTAGAACAATCCCATGACATATCGGTTACCTCAGGTGAACCGGTATTTGAACAACCTTCTTTCCGGCCGCCCGAATAAACTGCACCCCGTGTAAACATTACCACCTAAGTAGTATAGTTCTGTTGTCATTGATTCTGAAACCCTTATAATATTAACTATAATTCATGCAAGACATGCATAAGAATATTCATTCTTTTACTCATGGGGCAGAAAATTACATCTACTTCGAATTTTATACCCGGAAGAAGGGTGTAAATCGGCTCAAAAAAACTTCCTTTTCCCGAACAATTTTGATCGCAAGTTGCCAGTGTACTTGCCCGCAGGCCTCCCAAAACTGCACGTCGTACATCTGCCGTGTACGACATAACTTATGTTTTATCCATTATATTAAGGGGATACCAATGGGGATTTATAAAATTTAGCAGTGGATTTTAGCTGTATCACAAGTCATATTAGTAAATGCAGAGTTGGGATATTGTATAAACTAGCATGTCATGGTCTTAGTAATCTCATACTTTGAAACGTCTGAAAGGCCTAATAACACCCTTTCTTCCGGTACGGAATGTGAGGTAGACGGAGACATAACTGTCTTCTAAGTAAGTAAAAAATCAGTGTGTTTATGCATGGTGTTTATGAAATATATTTGCATTCAGTAGGACATCGGAAGTCAATGATAATAAT